CCCCAAAACCCCAAAACCCCAAAACCCCATGACTTAAGAATATAATTAATTCTAGGATAATTAGAGATATCAAGAATAATAAAAAAAAGAATGAGTGAGCAGAGAAACAAAAAATACATAAAAAAGAAAGTTTATCTTCACGATCATCATTCAGAATCGGCAAATGGATCAATATTGCTGTTGAACGGGCAAGATTAAAATTTTGAAAATAGTGAAAGAACCGTTAGTAGCTCAATATAGATTACTCAAAAGGGTATGCAGTAATCACCATATCTAGTAGGCCAGAAATTGATAAAAATAAATGGAAATAAAAGTTGATAAGATCAATATAGTGGGACAGGTGGTGTAAGCACTAGTACAGTGAGCTAATATTCAAGCCATATTTTGAAATTTCTGCATAATACTCAAAATTCGGAGAGAATTATGACACATGCGAATAAAAGTGAAGGTTATGATGAAATATCAAATAAGGAGTAAAGCTTAACAAGGCTTCCATAAATAGATGAAAGCTATATTAGGGATGAAACCTATGGAAATAAGGGAATGCAAAATACAAACACTAATCAAGTTAATCCTTTAAAGCAGTATGAGGAATTCAAGAAAAAGAAAGACATGATTTATCATGAGATACTCTAGCAAAAATCAAGGCTAGATAATAACCATAAGTAGCTTATATTTAACAAGCAATCAGACAACAGTAATCAAAAGTCAACTCGCCCTTCAAATATTAGTAATAAGGGATTATTCAATATTATACATCCAAAAAATGAATTAGAGAGCAAGTATTAAGATCTTACTAATTTTAACAGTAATAGGAAATTGCATAAAAATAGACTTATAGGAAGTACATTGCTAGAGCCAATAAACAGGAGCTATGATTTTAATAATGAAATAGACTAAAATAGATCATAAATTAATGCAGAAATAAGGAAGACTAGAAAGTTAACAGATATTGCCTCAATCACTTTGTATAGTAGAAATGATTTTAGTAAGAAGTCAGGCAATTCTGTATATATTGATAAACTCCTTAGGAAAAAACAAAATTTTGATAAAAATAATGTTTCAAATATAAATAGCACTTAAGCAACTGCAAACGATGATAATAGTAAGGTCTATAAGCAGCAGTAATTGAATGTATCTATGAATAGGCAGAAAACTATCTAGGATGAAAATAAAGATAAAGTTGGTAGCATTAAAATGAGTATGTATCAAACATACTCTCCCCACAAAATTAGTTAAAAACATATAAGATCTATCTATGAAAACCAGTATGAATCTAATAAAAGATCTGTTAGTAAATTAAGAAAATTGAGAGGAGATGATACTAGTAAAGATCTAATGAATAGCTCAAAAAGATTTAAAAGCATTTAAGAAAATTATCCTCAAGAATCCTAAGACTTACAAGAAATGCAAATGATAAAAATTGAGCTTAAACCCTATCCAATAACTAAAAATATCAAGCTGTCAAATTTAGGTTATTCTGGAGTTTCATAAATTAACAATGCGTCTTAAGATTAGGCTATAAATTCACAGGTTATAGAAATCACAAATATGGCCAGGTAGTCATATCAAAATAGATTTAAAGCAAATAATAGTCAGCAGGCAAATTAAACTAGCCATAGCTAACTATATCAAGCCAAGAACTAAAAAAATTTGAATAATTCAGTCATCGTTATCAAGCCAACTTTAAATGCTTAAATATATCCTAATTTAAAAGATAAACAGCAAAATTTATAAGAGCATTCTACAATAGAAACTCTGGAGTAAAATAAGATCAGGCAATAGTTCTCTTAGAGAAAAGATACTAAAATGACAAGCAAAACGAGAACATCTAGAATAGATGAGAAGGACTAATAAGATAAATTCAACAAACTCATGAAGTTTGACCTAGATACTCAGGTTAACAAGATGGATCAGTAAATAAATTAGTTGAGAAAGCAACTTAAGAATTCTGAAAAGTATTCTAGTTGCAATAACATTGATAAATCTGTGAGTCCTAGAAAAGTCACATTCTAAATCGATCCAACCAATAATGATGAATTATTTCAAATTGTTAATGCTTAGCCAAATACTTGAAGAATCAACGAATTTTTTAGTAAATAAGTTTAGATTGAGTATTATAATATAATTTAAAAAGTAATAATTAATAATGGATCTATTTTACAAACCACCCCTTCAGAGATTCGATGAGTGCTTCGCTCTAGAGGAGAATTACATGAACTGCCTCTTCCAGAAAGCTCTCAAGGACAGAACCATGAACAACAACTGTGTTCTTGACTCCATTCTTTGGTTCCACCTCGAGTGCCCCAAGGCCGCTTCCAAGTTCGATGATCCAATTACTTTCAAGCGCAAAGTTCACGATTTCATCGCAGAGCAAAAGAGTATCAGAGAAGGAATTAATAGTATTAGCACAGACTTTAACAGACTTAAAGCTCAATTCGGTGGTGTAGCCTACCCAGAAGATGTCCAAGAAAATAAATAACTTAGATAATTCCATGATATCTTTGAGCAACATTCACCAATTAAAACTCCAATTCCTGAAGAGGATTATGAAAACGAACACGAAGATGATCTTTATGAGGACATCGATCCCAAGGAAGCAGAATATCTTGACATTCCAGATTTTCTCTAGCCCTAACCAATCACTCTTCAGGATAGTAAGAGATTTGCTCCAAAGCAGGAGGTATCTCAAGACGAAGAATGAGAGAGAATATTTAAAAACTGAAGAGATAAATATTCTTCAAATAAGCGTGAGATAGCAGGCTTATCATTTTTAAGCCATTATTCTCTTTATTTAATTTAAACATTTAATTCTAATACTCATTTCAGGGGTTTTGGGGTTTTGGGGTTTTGGGGTTTTGGGG